GGAATGGTGTCCCTAGCATCTGTTTGTCAGAGGATGGAGATGGACGGCAGGAGAGAGATCACTTGATTACCTGTTCTGTTCATTCCCTCTGAGGCATCTGGTATTGGCCACTGTTGGTAGACAGGATACTGGGCTAGATGGACCTTTGGTCTGACCCAGTACGGCCATTCTTGTGTTCTTATGGAACAGTGAGTTTCAGCAGATCATAATCTTTCCCACGATACCTCACACGGCCTGCTCTATATGCAATATCACAGTTCTATACAAATGAGGAATATGGGGGTTACCTGGCTGTCCCCAGAGGTATAGAGTTTCCCACTCCCCTCACCCTGATGCCTCCTGGCTGCTCTGACGGGGGTGCGGATGGGACTCTGCTGACCGTGAGCCTCACAGAGCTCCCATGTGATTGGCCCTGTGAATTGTGGGGCTGTCAGTGGGGCAGCAGGTACTGAGCATTGGGCTCTTGCTCTTTCAGGGGCCGGTGACCTTCGAGGAGGTGGCTGTGTATTTCAACAAGGAAGAGTGGGCTCTGCTGGACCCCGCTCAGCGAGCCCTCTACTGGGACATCATGCAGGAGAACTATGAGAATGTGACATTGCTGGGTAAGGATTCCCGTCCCCTCAGTTCTTAGAAGGGGAAATGCAGAGTTGAGGTTCACGTCACCCCACAATGCAAACTCAACTCTGCCCTGTTTCAGCAACACCCCGACATGCCAGTGACACACACACCAGCGCTGTGCCCTGCCCTGCTACACAACACTGCAGGAACAGAGCCCAGGAGCAGAACAGCGCAGAGTCTAACATCGTCTCTTGGCTAAGGCAAAACGTGGGTTCAGGTCTGGCATAAAGAACAGAAGCTGCCTGCCCTGGCCAACACTCAAACGCTGAGCCTGCCGCACACAACCCAGCTCAGATTTACAAATTGTTACCAGCCCTTTACCCTCCCCCTGAGAGTCCTTCTGAGTCGTCGCCTTCACTTACCTCTCACTGAGCCCTGGAGACCAGTAGCATTTTACGCCAGCAGACGGCTGACGCTCCCCGTGGCAAAAACACGTCCTTGTGCACGGTCACTGACACCGCCTGCAACGCTCAGCACGGAAATGAGGCAGACTCGGTCCCTCAGGGGTCACCTGCACCTCTCTGCATACCACGGTCACAGCTCTGCAAAGCTGCTCCAACTGCTCCCTCCACCATCCAGTTACAGCTGGCCCAGTGCACACAGCTGGGGGCATGCAGATAAATGCCGGTGTTCCGATCTGTGGAACACCACACAAACAACGGCACGTTCTCTTAGTCCTTCCTCGTATCTATGATAGAGTCACAGATTTTAAGGCCAGGATGGGGTGTTAGGTCATCTAATCAGACCCTCCTGTACAACAGGCCATGGAATTTCATCCAGTTACTGTGGTACTGAGCTGAATACCTTGTATTTGACTAAATCGGGGTCGGCAGCCTTTCGGAAGCGCTGGGCCGAGTCTTCATTTATTCATTCGAATTTAAGGTTTCGCGTGCCAGTCATGCATGTTAACGTTTTCAGAAGGTCTGCTAGAATCGCCACGCATCATTATTCTAGAGCAGCTCGACTCCACCGCAGGGGGCTCGGAGAAACGGAACTACGGGCTTGTCTGCGCTTCAGATGCTGCAGTAACACTTCGGCGTAGACTAGCGTCATGGGAGGGGTTCTCCCATCACCATAGTTAATCCACCTCCCCAAGAGGCGCTAGCGACGTTGATGGAAGAATTCTTCCCTTGACCTAGTGCTGGGTAGCCATCGTGAATCGTTCTCTGAAGACGTCCACACAGTGTGCAGCGGCGGTCAGAAAAGGAAACAGGATGTTAGGAATCATTAAAAAAGGGATAGAGACTAAGACGGAGAATATCTTATTGCCCTTATATAAATCCCTGGGACGCCCACATCTTGAATACTGCGTACAGATGTGGTCTCCTCATTTCAAAAAAGATATACTGGCACTAGAAAAGGTTCAGCGAAGGGCAACTAAAATGATTAGGGGTTTGGAACGGGGCCCATATGAGGAGAGATTAAAGAGGTTAGGACTTTTCAGCTTGGAAAAGAGGAGACTAAGGGCTGGTCCACACTGGGGCGGGGGATCGATCTAGGAAACGCAACTTCAGCTACGAGAATAGCGTAGCTGAAGTCGACGTTTCCTATATCGAACTAAAAGTACTTACTTCGGGTCCACGCGGCGCAGGCAGGCTCCCCCGTCGACAGCGCTTCCTCCTCTCGGCGAGCAGGAGTTCCGCAGTCGATGGGGGAGCGCTTCTGGGATCGATCTATTGCGTCCAGATGAGTCGCGATAAATCGATCCCAGAAGATCGATCTCTACCCGCCGAATTAGGCGGGTAGTGTGGACCAGCCCTAAGGGTATGTCTACACTTACCCGGTAGTTCCGCGGCGAGCGATCGAACTTCTGGGTTCGACTTATCGTGTCTTGTCTGGACGCGATAAGTCGAACCAGGAAGTGCTCGCCGTCGACTGCGGCACTCCAGCTAGACGAGAGGAGTACCGCGGAGTCGACGGGGGAGCCTGCCTGCCGCGTGTGGACCGAGGTAAGTTCGAACTAAGGTACTTCGAACTTCAGCTACGTTATTCACGTAGCTGAAGTTGCGTACCTTAGTTCGATTTGGGGGGTTAGTGTAGACCAAACCTTAGGGGGGATATGATAGCTATATAAAATCATGGGTGTGGAGAAAGTGAATAAGGAAAAGTTATTTACTTGTTCCCATAATATAAGAACTAGGGGCCACCAAATGAAATTAATGGGCAGCAGATTTAAAACAAATAAAAGGAAGTTCTTCTTCACGCAGCGCACAGTCAACTTGTGGAACTTCTTGCCGGAGGAGGTTGTGAAGGCTAGGACTATAACAGGGTTTAAAAGAGAACTAGATAAATTCATGGAGGTTAAGTCCATTAATGGCTATTAGCCGGGATGGGTAAGGAATGGTGTCCCTAGCCTCTGTTTGTCAGAGGGTGGAGATGGATGGCAGAAGAGAGATCACTTGATCGTTACCTGTTAGGTTCACTCCCTCTGGGGCACCTGGCATTGGCCACTGTCGGCAGACAGGATACTGGGCTGGATGGACCTTTGGGCTGACCCAATATGGCCGTTCTTATGTCATGTTCTTATGACTGCACTGAGTTTAAGTCAATTTAATTAGGTCATTCAGAGGTGTGGATTTTTCACCCCCCAGAGTGATGGGTCAATTTAAGATTTGAGAGTCCTAAGAGACACCTGGTAAGTGGGGAGGGTGAGGTTAGTGGGGGGAAGAGAGGTGGTTTGGGGAGCTAGAGCTGCAGGGGATGCCAGCCTGTTATGAAAGAATCCCTGCCCAGTCCCCGTTGCTGGTGACCTGCATTGCATCCTAACCAGACTCCACTTTCACTTGGTTTTACACAATCACAACTATGATGATTCTCGTTCTTCTCCCTGCACCGTGCACTACCTACCCCCGCCACACGCACACCCCCATTCCCTAACCATTGGGACCCCAGCCACCGATCCTGATTCCTTACACTCCTCCCAGGCACAAGCTGACTTCTTCGCTCTTGGTGACGTCCTAAGTTGGTAATGAAACTTCTGGGGACTTGGAGGGTCTCGCTCCCCCCTTCCCTACATGCAGCAGCCACATTCTCTCTTCTCTGCAGGCTCCTTGGATCTTTGAGGCAGCCCCTCTTGAGATCACATGGTCTTATTCTTACTTTTCATAGTCTCCTTTTCCAGAGGAATTAGTCTGTTGCTACTGAGTTATAATATCGAATCCCCTAAACTCCTCCTAGGTACTTCAGGGACTAGATGAGGCAATCTCAGAAACATTAGCAATTATCTTTGAAAACTCATGGAGGGCAGATGAAGTACAAACACAGAACCTACCTTTAAAAAGGAGAACAAAGAGGACCTGAGGAATTATAGATCAGTCCGCCTAACTGGAAAGACACTGGAACATATTATGAAACGATCAGTTTGTCAGCACCTGGAGGATAATAGCATTATGAGGAATAATCGGCATGTATTTGTCAAGAACAAATCATACCACACCAAGCTAATTTCCTTCTTTGACAGGGTTACTGGCCTAGGGCATTACAGGGAAGCAGCAGATTTTCCTTACCTTAATTTAGGTACGTCCTTTAACACAGTCCCACGTGCCATTCTCATAAGGAAACTAGGGAAATGGGGTCCAGATAAAATTATTATAAAGTGGGTACAAATCTGTTTGAAAGACCGGACTCAATTTTAATCTGCAGCAAGGGCGATTTAGGTTAGATATTAGGAGGAAAAGTGTAACCACAGGGGTAGTTAAGCTCTGGAATAGGATTACAAGGGAAGCTATGGAATCCCCATCTCTGGAAGTTTTTAAGAAAGACAAATACCTCTCAGGGATGGTCTAGGTTCACTTGTTCCTGCCTCAGTCCATGGGCTGGATTAAATGACCTCTCCAAGTCCCTTCCAGCCCCACATTTCTGTGATTCTCTCATTCTAAAACCTTCCCCAGGCACTGGGGGATTTTCACGCTCCTTTCCATTACTCCTGACTCGCTCTATTCCCTAACTTCTCAAAATGGGCTTTCCTGATCCCTAGCACACCGACATGCTGTCCTCAGTGATCTGCCCACTCCTTCCCATTCCTTACAATGCTGAGCCCCACAAGCGCATGCTCCTCAGCCCCAGTTCCCCTATGACTGTCTCGTTCCCTTGGGGGGTCTTTGTCGGTAAAAAGCAGTTCCAAGGTGACTTCCCCTGGGCTTTCTGTGATTTGGAGTTACTCTCGCTGGGTCTTCAAAGGAGTCTCTTTGAACAAGAGGGAAGCAGAGCAGTGAGGAATTAATCCCATTATAACCAGTGTCTGGCACCTTTGAGCACCTGGAGAGCTTGCTCCAGAATATCAGGGCTTTAAAATGAGCAGAGGTTTTAAAAAAGGCCGTGTTCTTTGGGAGAAATGTCCCATGAATTCACCTGATCTCACTTGTTTTCTGTCATCCGAGCAGGGTTTCCACTTTCCAAACCTGAGGTGATGTCCCAGCTGGAACCAGGGGAAGAGCCGTGGGTCTCAGATCTCCAGGGCTCGGAGGGAAGAGAGATCCTGACAGGAACCTGCCCAGGTGAGGAATCATTGGACCAACTCAAATACTGTCTGTGCCTGAAGGACACAGCTGGGATTCCCTACCAAGACCTTGAGAGCTCTTCGAGTTCAGGATTGTCCCTCAGCAGGTGTGGTATCCTCAGGGCTGATGTCGCTTGTGGCTTCCTACCCATCCTGATCAACATGTTGCAATAGCTCCCTTCCTAATCTCCCTTTATCCTGATCGGTGGGATGGGAGACAGAGTTGATCCCCTCCATTCTACCCTCTGGGGAAGAGTTTGGGGGATTCATTTCCTGATATTTTCCCCCCATCTCTCTAGCATTTCCTTTGGTTTCCTCTCCCCTTTTCCGTCCCTGCTTCTGAGGTTTCTCTGTCCCAGCAGGTGGTGGGACGGTGAGTGAGAACAAGGAGCAGAATCTAAAGCAGGAAGATGCTGAGCATATGGAACTGCACGGGGGATTATCAGAAAGAACTCAAGGGACCATGCCCAGGAGTCGTGAGGAAAGGCAGCAGGGAAACCAGGCAGGGGGAAACGTGGTTAAATCCATCAGTTGTGAGGAAAATCACGAGGACCTCAAGGAAACCACAGCTCAGCAGAAAATCCTCACGGGAAAGAGAAAAAACCTATGCACTGAGTGTGGGAAAACCTTTCCTGGGCGCTCTCACCTTATTATGCATCAGAAAATTCACACAGGAGAAAGACCCTACGCATGCTGTGAGTGCGGGAAAACCTT